TTAATGCTATATCTGTGAGAGACACCAGGTTTAAATAATTCATGTGGTTTACAATAAACTGATCCACAACCTGCGTTTTACATAATTTTAATAAGATAATGTGGATGTGCGATGACCTGCAGGAAGCATTCTGTTACTCTATAAAATAACAGAAGGAAAATGGAAGGACGTGTTGGGTATTTGTTCTTCTTGTTGATTAATTTACGCGGCACCTTTACACTCCTACTTGCGGTGTTAGTTCTGACATGAAATCTGTTTCTCTGTCACTCCACAAAATGTAATGAAGGTGTGGTTTTTTCTATAAACAGGTGTAGATGTGACTCTGCATCCCTGCAACCCCGAACAAATTCTTGACTCTTTAACCATTCATCAGAATTGACGTCCAAACATCTCATGCTGAGCTGATTAGTGACACTTGGTTTTCATCCTCCTGGCAGGAGTAAACCGTAATGCATAGTGCCATAAATGATTCGAAAAAGGATACGATATGGGGAAGCTTTTTGAGCTCTTCCATTCCATCTACCGATGAGCGAGCTAGACAGACAGATAACGGCCAACACAGCCACGAGTGGTTCCAGGTGGAGCTCGCACTTTAAGAATTTATGTTTTAAACATGTCAAGACGTTGACTTAAATTAGACTGTATTAAGGTGTGTTCATACAAAACACAATGTGGATTTTCAGGCAGCGTGACAATAACGCTCTATGAGTTCACCCGGGGGCAATAAAAATTAGGACAAAGAAAGTGTCGAGAAGAGCGAGTTGACCATGTTATACTTTGAGTAGAGCTGCGATGATTAATCGAAATAATCATTTAATCAACTGACAGGAAAATTTAAAGGGACTTTTTGATAATCATATATTCGTTTTAAGTAATATCTATAAGCAAAAGTGTCAAAAATTTGCTTTTTTTAGCTTCTCAAATGTGAGTATTTGATATTTTGCCTTATCATATATGAAGGTTTATTTCATGGATATATGGAGATAGAAGGAACAAGGAGAGACTGAGGGAAGATTACAAAGATATCTGGAGTTTCTGGTGAGTTTGTGAGATCAGTCATACAAACACACACAGTTGTGTGTATGTTTCTAGCTGGCCATGTTGAAAATGGTCCGGCAGTCATTTCACACTAACAAAACAAGGTGATAATTGTGCTTTGTGTTCTGTTTGAACACATCTTTAACATGAACAGGACTCGTAAATATTTGGTTTTTCCAGCGCCACTGCGACCCAAAATGGTTCGTGTGATACTGAATGTATGTAACGGCAGAGCTGCAAGTTGCTTGCAGTATAATTCTTTGTTAGAAAATGTACATGAGTAATCGACTGATAATGATTCTGACAAGAGGGAGAGTATAAGAGAGTGTACCAAGCACAAGCTGCCTCAAGCAACGCTATGGAAAAAAGCCTGGTGGTTTAAACCCCCTGCCCCCCTCTTCCCTACCTCACAGAAACACAGGCCATAAAAACGTGCCCACTGTCTGACCCACTTTCCATGACAGACGTAATCTCCTTCACACAAACTTCAGCTGTTTACCAGCCCAGCAAGAGTAAAGCCGGACCGGGAGGAGGGTGCAAGCTCCTCACACACAGCAGGGGGAAAGCTGCTGCTCAACTGTGCCGATGATTACACCCCCAGATCCCGCCGAGCTCACCGGCCCTCCCTGATCAAACTACAACACCACAGGCACATGGCGCACAGAAAGATAAATGCAAACATTTCGCCAAAACACAAACATACTTGCTTGAATCTCAAATACACTCACTCAACCACCAAGAAGTTAACCACCTACTGCTGGCATGTTCACACTTACCTCATTCTCAAGGGAAAATTACTCAATTAATTCCCTCAAAATCTAAATGTTACCCATTTACCCCTCAACAATCTCTTAAGGCCATATTGGACTGCTTTTGGAGCCCTAGTTCACACTTTGTCTGCTGGTACATGCACACATGTCATAGAGTCACGCAATGCTATGTTGGATTAAAAAGTTGTTTTTAGCCATTTCCACTTGTGGTAGTAAGTTTAGCAAATCTGCAAACAGCAGGGTCTGGACACATTATTTAGACTAAATGATGAAGAGCTCAACACACCCACAGCGAAACAGAATACTTGTTAAAATCAGTTGCAACAGCCACTATTTCAGCACTTCTTCTGTGACCAATCAAGAAACAAATTGTTTGTGTAAACTTTCTGATATAAGCAAATCCAAGTTTTTAAACTCTTTCCAGTTGTGATGAGATTTGGAGAAATGGATTGTTTATCATTGCTGTGAATTTATGTCACAAGTTGGTTTCGAAGAAACCACAAATACTCTTAGAAGCTTGTGCGTAAATATGAAAAATATGGGAATACATAGTATACACTTACATAAAATCCTTTTATTAAAACCACTGCAGCATAGATTTTTTTTTTTTCAAATCCCACTGATGGATATAAATGCAATAACAATGCTGCTGAATCTCCTACTGACGGACAAATCTTTTCTGAGCCTGTAAAGGACCAATGTAATAATATTTTAATTGAAATAAAAACTTCTAAAATAATTGATGAAATGGGGATATGGGTTTTTTTTCCTGAACACTAGTGATACAGCATCCGGCCCGGCTGAGACTGGGAGGCCTATCTGTGTCCCCACAGACCAGGTTACTAAGGATACGGGCAGCACTGAGCCTCCATTAAGACATCAGAGCTCTCTCTGCGCTCCCGTCTGACACCAGCGGCTCCGGTTTCCTCCCTGAAATTGAGACTCTGAAGCGTGTTGGAGAACACGCACTAAGGCCTGCAGAGCAAACACACCCAATGCAAATGTGCAAACATAAAAGTGTACAGTATGTGCAATACTTACACTCTCCCCTGTTACACAGCAAAACACTGCAAAAGCACTTCACACTAGAAGTTATCGCCATTTATAGGCTGTGAGAATGCAGACTTAAATAGCCTGTGCAAAAATATAATAAAGACTCATCATCCTTACAACAGGGCAGCACTTTTTTAGCTGATGTGTAGCTCTCTACACCAGGTTTGGCTCTGTTATGGTCACCGTTGCATCTGATAAGGGCCCAAACTATTCAATACAGTCCACACAGTAGGTATAATTGCAGGAAATTGATCATTTTTGTTTGCTGAACTTTGCATCATTCTGTAGCCTTATGTTTGGAACCTGCTCAGACGAACACACAAATCCACTCTTTGTTGACTATTTTTCCTGTGTTTCATGTTCAGAATGAAAAACAAATATAAAAACAGTAAAAAAAAAAAAAAAAGTTGTTGTATTGTCTTATTGCACTCTCAACCTGCTTTATATCTTATGAAGAAGTCATAGGACTAAAAAGGCAGATGCAAAGCTTCAGTTTTAAATGTAGCCCTTCCGCTACTTTTAGCACTTTGTACTTGCTGCTGATTACTTCAGCAGCCAACTAGCTATCCTTTGAAAGCCCTATTCTAATACAAATTAGTCCTGTTGGGTTGGTAAATGGGTAACGTCACTGAAAGAAATGAAACGCACTGGCCACTACCACTGACCGACATTTCAAAAAAAACTCATTTTCCAGATTAATCATCACACTGACAAGCAGACAATGGAAAATAAGGCCCAGGGCATCGTGGTGGAGCAGATGGAGTTAATGCATGTCTGTCTTTACGTGACATTTCCAAAACGGGAAAGTGAAGTCAGAGAGATCCATATCAGCAACAAACTTATCGCATCATCATCTGCCAACCAGTAAAGTCAGAGACAGACGGTGGGGGGGGGGGGGGGGCAT